TTGTTGTAGCCATGAGATAAGAAAAAAATAAAATTTCACACAAAAGTCAAATTTCACCCTGAGCTGAAGATAAAATAAAGTAGAAGCACCAGCAGCTCTTCAAACGTAGGGGTTTCATTTAAATTACAAGAGGACCAGTGAGTGAGTTCACAGAAACACAGGAGGTCCCTGTGGCTGCACAGTGTTAGACTTTAAAACCCCCTGGACTAAATCCACTGTTGAAGGACCCCGATAAAAGCTCCCTGTAGCGGGTTCACAGGTACAAAGAAATGCAGGTAAACATGAACTCACCTCATTTGTTCTTCACTGGGTTAGGGTTAGGGTTAGGGACTCTCAGACTGCCTGTGCATGTTAGCCTGTTAACACAAGTATCTACGCTAGCATGTTAGCTTGAGAGCCTGGAAATAAAAACAACCACCGGTTGCATGCTAGCATTTTGTTAGCATGTAGCTACAGCCACTGCTAGTCACATTATAGTTTCTCTGAGGTAGAGGTCTTCATGGGTCCAAACATTTGTGCCCAAACCCAGAAATGTACTGTCCTGAATGTTGACCTGGGTCGGTTCTCGGGTCCTAGGGTTCGGGTGGGCCTGTGGAGACCTCTACTCTGAGGCATGAGATCTTTGTGTGGGTGTGAGTGTGTGTGTGTGTGTGTGTGTGTTTTCTAAAGCTCTGTACCTTGGTTCTGTCCCTCTGCTGTCCAGGGGATCCAGGTAACACCTGTCCACCTGTCTGTCCAACTTTACTGTCTGTCTGTGCATTCACTTTGTGTGTTTGTGTGTGTGTGTGCGTGTGTGTGCATGAGTGTACCACGCTGTTGGCATTACCACACACTGTCCTTTCTGGATTTATCATCCAGTAGTAGTACTACAACTACTACTACTACTGTTACTACTATTACTTGGTGTTTGACTTTTTTCTCTTGCAGTACCTTTACCATTACTGATACCACTACTACCACACTAGTACTGCTACAAATACAACAAACACGAGTACCTATTGTGATTGTGTCACTATTGCTACCGTAGTACCATTACTACCTTTTATATTGTTACTTCTACTGCTAGCACTCACTTTACTTCAGCTACTATAACTGTCATCACTATTGGCTAGTGTTAATGTTGCTATAGCTGCTAATACTGCTAACACTAATACAGTTACTACTACTGTTACTACTACTGTTACGACTAAAACTACTAATACAGTATCTCCTTCTACTGAATATTATTTATAATATAGTGATATATTACTCCTGTTACTTCTTTTACTATTACTGTGACCTCTGTAAATATTACTATTTGTAATACTACTACTACTATAATTTAAACTATTACCATCGCTTGTACCATTACTATACCTTTACTGTTAGTTGCTTACTAGTACCACTACCAGTACTACTACTTCTTCTTTTGCTAGTACCCCCATTGGTATTACTAACGCTACTACTCCTGTTGTTACTAGTTACTACTAACTAGTCATTATTACTACCACTGACAACATTACGGCTGTGACTAAAACTGCTACTATTACAGTGTCTACCTCTACAGTGTAACTACAGTTACTACGATTACTCATTTTACTACTACTACGATTGCTACTATGACTACCACTGTAACTATTACTACCATAAAACTTCAATTAGTAGCCTGGGCTTTAATTGGCTTCAACCACTGAACTCAATCTGCCTTTATTTGGAACAGGCCTTTAATTCCTTTTGTACAAAACACTTGCTCAGCAAAGATGGAAAACACTTTCAAATAGTTTCTTTAAACCAGTATGAATATTATTTGTATAAAAATTAGAATAACATATCAATTACATTCATTTGATCATTTGATACTTTGGTGCTTGTGGTTTCTGTAAAATGAACTAATGATTGAATTGTGGAGAATCGAACTGATCTAACAATGTGCAGCATGTCCATATTCACAAAAGTTTAAACATTTATATTTATGTAAGTGATCTTAGCAGCTTAGAACTTGCTCAAGTGGATTTTTAAGAGGTTTTATACATCCAAAGACCTATGAAATCCAGACCAGACTACTAATTGAGACCTGCCTTTATTTATCAAAATGTGTAGCCACACCAGTCCGGTAAGGGAGAGCTGTTTCTAATTGAAGTTTTACGGTACTTGTATTTAGCTTCTAATATTACTAACTCTACTGTGCCAGCTCTTACCAGTACAAATACTACTATTAATATCACTGATTTGCATCTGATACTACTGCACTGCTAATGCTGTTAAGTCTAACTACTAATTTGACTACTAATGCCACTATTATTGCTGCAATACTACTACTACTACCACCACACTAGTGCTGCTATTACTATTTGTAGACCAGTGGGTTAGGGATTACGACAGAGGTCATAGGTCAGGTTATAAAGTACTAACTCTACTGTGATACTACCATTAATATTACTGCTTTATCCATGAAGTACCAGAAGCATCACAGCCCGCTGCAAGAAGACCCCATCTGTCTATGGCACACCTGTCTGTCCTACCTGCCTGTCTGCAGACTGACCATGCTGTCCCACTGATTGTCCTTCCACCTGTCTGTCTCTGCTGTGGGATGTGACTGTTTACCTTTGTCTGGTTGACTGATTAATTGACTGATTGATCCTCCAGGCCTCCAGTGAGTCGAGCGGCACCGCAGCCAGAGAAACTCCAGAAGAACAACGTCTCCAAGAAAAAGAGACTGGTCGAGGTATGCCTGTCTCTTTGCCTGACTCTCTCTCAGTCTGTCTGTCTGTCCACCTGATTTCTGTCTCCTCTGTCTTCACCCCCCGTAGGACCTGGTTTTGGATCATGTGTTTGGTTTTCGGGGCTTCGATTGTCGTAACAACCTGCACTACCTCAACGATGGCACCGACATCGTCTACCACACTGCCGCCACTGCCATCGTCCACAGTCTCAGCAACGGTAACCACGGCAACACCACGTCCTAATACACACTTTTGACCTTATGTGACTTGCAGAGAATTATCAGCTGAAAGTGCAGCTCCCCTCGGCTTTACAGAGCTTTATAGTAAGTTTCACTCATTGTTAATCTATCCAGCCACAACTCGACCATTTGTTTTACACTTAACACTATCATAGTGGGGTTTTTTCTGAAAGCAGACAGAAAGCTGTAAAAAGTGTTGCACTCTGTGTTATAAAAAAAGGCAAATAAATGCTGATATAACCTTTAATTCACTGATGAAGTGTTGTCTAGACAAACACAGCTGCTGCAGTGGCAATCGAACTTGTGATGCATTTATGTGTCTTCATCTGCTGCAGGAACTCAGAGTTTCTACCTGGAACACACTGATGACATCCTCTCTTTGACTGTCAACCAGCACCCGAAGTATAAAAATATCATCGCCACTGGACAGATCGGTACACTGAGTCTCTGTGTGTGTGTTTTTGCATGGCCCTGTGTTTCTCTACTAACTCGTCTGTAGCTACTAAATGAGTGCTGCTTTTCTCTCCTCTGCTTTATGTTTAACCTGCTTGCTTTACTTTTTCCCCACCGACAGAATAGAAATAGACTGATAGCACGAACATGGAGGAAGCTTTTCCTCTTGAATAGGAAATACCACAATTTGGGCAAGGCAAAGGGACTGTATTTAAATTATTAATCAGGAGGAGGTGTCAGCAAAGGTGCAGGAAAAACAGTATTTCTTTTGTGATACTGGAGGGGAGGGTAGGCATTTTTTTTGCAGATGTGCGACTGCTCCCTCGTGGAGCAGAAAATCTAAACTGTCCTCAGGGTAGAGCCAGAGGAAACGTCAGAGACTAGCTGGGGAACAAAGTGGAGCCTTAGCAGCAGAACATACAGATATTCCAGTCTGGAGTTGATGGAAACCAAAAACATAACTAAAAGAGAGCCATAATATTGGACTATCGTTCATCATGACAGAAACACAACTCCAAATGAATGCTAGTTAATGGTCCATAACTGCCAGATGTGTAAATAAGCAACTGTTTGTTAACAAGTTGAACATATTAACTTAAAAAGTGACATCTAATGTTGTGTTTACAGCTTGTTTCTCTTAAAAACAAGTGAATACATAAATCCGTTACTGGAGGTATACGCCTCACCACTATCACGGTTAACCCATATTATGTACATTAGCCTGATTTAGATAGCAGGAATCACCCATGAATATCTCTATTTACTGTCATGGCTGACGTAAGCCTGTTTAAAACAACTCATTACAGGTTTTTATCTGTTTTTTTTTTATGTTTTGTTTTTGTATGTGTGTGTTTTGGCTGGCCTCATTTGTCACCATCGCTCTCACAACACGTCAGGTGACGTCAGTGAACTCCCAGGTAAAAACCAAACCGCACCTTTCCCTCTACAACAGACACCCTGACACCCAGAGACAACCTGCAGGCTGTCCATCAGGACTTTTAGGAGTGCTGTCTTTGGATCAAAATAGCAGCACACAAAATAAAACATCCGGCCGAGTTATAACATCAACCTGTTTTATCAGCATGAGTCAAAAAATGTGGCTGCTGCAAAGAGCTGATTCAGACAGCACACATTTTCAGTGATTTAACCAAACTGATGTTTTTGTATGGTTTGTTTTCCAAATAGTCCATCAAGCTTTTAGATTGATTTCCTTCCCTCCAGGCAGCTGTGGTTCCAGTTCAGGTCGAGGAAAATCAACAGATATCATCACCATGCTCATTTACAATTCAAAACTGTATTTTTTGTTCGTCCAGACTGTAGGACATTTTTCCTTGTTGGTGCTCGTGTAAAAATCTTTCACGCAGCAGAGTTTTTCCTCACCAAGTAGAGGAGAAACATTCAGGATGTAGGATTTTTAAATTCACAGCATCAGTATACTCCTTGTGCTTTTAAAATGAAATATCTTTTGGCTGAGTTTACTATGCAGTTCATTTATATCTACAGGAAGGAAGGTACATTCATTCACTAATTCATCTGAAATCCTTCAGTTTTTATAAATAATGCCCGAAGCAAACAAATTAACACGATCCTCATCACAGCCCCAGCCCAGCCCCTATTGTTTGTGTTGATATCAGCAGAAAGAAATCAACTGAAGCATGCCTGGGGAAAAAAGGAAATTAATCTTAAAACTGCTTTGATGACGATGCCATCAGTGCTTCCAACAGTGAAGCACCTCAGTACTTTATGCTGACGTCGTTCTGGTTCTCAGGGTGTCTGTAGGCTGCATTGATCCCTCTAACTGCTCTGTTGTGGTCTATAAACTTTTTGGGACATAACCTCAATTTATATCCTCTCTCTCTCTGAATGTCTCCTAATCTTCATGTAGGCACCACTCCTTCGATCCACGTATGGGACGCGATGAGTAAACAGACTCTGTCCATCCTTCGCTGTCCTCACACTAAAGGCGTCGGCTACGTTAACTTCAGCGCCACGGGGAAGCTGCTGCTGTCTGTCGGAGTGGAACCTGAACACACCATCACTGTGTGGCGCTGGCAGGAAGGTCAGACTGACATCTTATCAATAACCATGAACATGCACACAGTAATACCCAAAAACAGCTGTTTAGCTGTTATTAATAGCTACAATTTAAGTATAACTAAAACCATAAGTTGTGCTAGCTCCACCCCTCCAGCAAATGAAAACAGGCAGCAGAGAGAATCATGTGGTCATAGCTACGGAGTGTGTGAGGCGGGAGGTAACACCCAGTTACAATAGCAGGAGCACAGCGGCTGGTAGCTAATGGAGCTAACCAGCCATAAGCAGCTGCTGTCAGGCTCTCTGTGTCCGTGCTGCAAACACAGACAGTCTGCCAGAGCTTTAACGTTATCTAAGAAGGCGGCTAATGCTGTGTCTCAACTTAACCATAACAACAACAACTCAACCATACTCGCACTACCTATTTTGAGTACACGAGTGTGTTCACGCTTTCAAATTCATATTTAAAGGGTTTTTTGCTCCACCGACTGAGCTGACCAATTCTCAGATAATGTTGGTCACATACAGATTACCACCACAAAATATTGATGCGTGTGTGACACTAATTTAGGCTTTCTTTTGGCAATAAACACAGCATGAGGTAAAACAGAGCACAGCTGATAGAGTGTGTACATGGTGTAAGAATAGTCATTTAGAACAGGACCGAATATTGAGGGTGTCTCCACTGCAGGGTCCAAGGTGTGCAGTAAAGCAGGACACCCAGACCGGATCTTCGTGGTGGAGTTTCGTCCAGACTCTGACTCCCAGTTCGTGTCGGTGGGAATCAAACACGTAAAGTTCTGGACACTAGCCGGTGGCTCTCTGATGTACAAGAAGGGAGTGGTGGGAACGGTGGAGGACGGCAGGATGCAGACGATGCTGTCTGTCGCCTTCGGTGCTGTAAGTTCACTGCAGACTTGTTGTTTGTAAAATCTGATATCCAGAGGTTTTATCACCTGATACAGGACACTACTCGAACTAAACGAGACCACAGACAAGAAGTGAAACACTGAAGAAATTGGCCATCAAAAAAGAAATCAAATAACAGGTCCAGTGTATTTCATTTCTGTTGTGCAATTAAATTCCAGTGCAACACACGAATACTTTTACATTATGTACGATTAAAGCATTTATGTAGTTAATGCAGCCATTCTCGCTACCTTTAAAAATCTAAAAGATTTAAAAAAAGTTTAAAATCACTGAAGAACACCACACCTACCTAACAATAATTATCATTTCACGGTAAAACTGTCACAAAGGGAGAATTTTTTTACCTTTTAAAATATTTAAAAATACAAATATAAGATGCAAATGTGCAAGAATGACCAAATGTTACAACAGAAAAGAAAATGGAAACCAAACATTTTCCTCTGTGTATTTTTTAAAGAAAAACTTTACTTTCATTCAGTAAATGAAGGTGTCCTATAGACCATTTTCACAGAAGGAAGACACAACTTGCTCTGTACTGTGATGTTCCCCTTTCTGCTTTAAATACAAAGTAATGGTGACTTTTTCTCCCAATGAAAGCATTTTTTTCTCAAATCAGATTAGCTATGGTTACACTCTAGTATGTATTTTACTCTTCAGTGCACATGGTCCAATCTCAATTAAACTTCACATGTTTGATAAGAGTCCCACCCTGAACACGTCACAATATTGAAAAATATTCAGATAGTGATAGCGCCACCTACTGCCAACAGAAAGTAAACGCTGTGTGGTGATTTTGATCTTTCATGACATTTAAATGTTGCGGTCCACATAAGCTGATGCATCACACGGCTGCAGCACACGCTGACACGCACAGACTGCATTTTAATATTATCCAGATAGTAATTTGTAGATATACATGACAAATGGTGTAGAATATTTTATACCCATCATCGTGGCAAGCCAATTAATGCATTTCTGCAAATGTTACATGTGAGGAATTTAGACCTCATAACACATTTTATTAAGTCATCAATTTATTCATGTAAAAGCTATACTATAATATTACAGATTGTTTTTTTTTTTTTAAGAAGTGCTACATAATAGATTCAATTTGCTTTAGTTAACTGCTGCTGTAATACAGGAACGGAAGGGGGGGGGCGGGGGAACTATTTTGATTTGCAACAACTTAATTATGACAATTCTTAGAAACAAATTAACTTTAGTTAAATTCATATTTGCTTTTTCCATGAAGATTGTCAAAAACAAATTAGCAAGGCACCGGCAGGAAAACGAACCCCAATTCCCAGTAAAACCAGGAAGAACCAATTTTACCGGACCTTTTGCTTTTTTGGACACTACAATGGGAAGGTTTTGAAGCAAAACCTGCCATTAATCAATTAGCATTTTGAAATAATGTCATTAATTGACATTTTACTTTTATTTCTTAAAATTGTGGATAATTTCTATTTAGTTCTGTTTGCAATATTTTTTGTAAAACTGCTATGAGCAAAATGTTTAGAATATGTTTTCCCTTATAAATTGCCTATTTTGTAATGCAGGAAAAAGAAACCATTTTTTTTTGGCATACAAAGACAAAAGTACACAAAAGAAGACAGAATAATAAAGTACATACAATATAATTCAGAGGAAAAGTTAATTATTGTTGTTTATTATAACATAGCATTTTTTCTTTATTGGCTTGTTCAAAGCCTAAAGTGTCAATACGTCTAGAAATGTTAAAAAGAACAAAAAACATTCCCCTCGTTGTTCAACTGAAACTTATTGTTGGCCAACAACCGCAGGAATTCTACAGATCCATCATTTGTTTGATTGTTTTCAACATACACAATTTCAGCCTTTTCTCAGGTTGTTTTGGTTGAAGTGAAGTTAGTAACATTGCAAT